AGAAAAAAAAAAAAACCAAGTTGAAGAAATTTGTCTATTTGCTATAGTAGCAGTAGCCGAAGAGAGGGAGAGAGAGGGAGCTAGAGAGGGAGAAAGAGAAAAAGAGTGGATGAAATAGAGGTTGGACGGGTATTGTTTGCGCTACGCGTTCCAACCAGCGAATCGAACGCCGCATAAGCCAGCCGGATGTTAACGCATTGGAGAGGGCGGGGCCTTTGTGAGGCTGAGCATCGATGAGGCCACAACTCATATCAGCAACAGTGATGGCACAGAATCACGTCGATGTTGATGCTCTACTTGAAGACTACGCATGGAAGCATTTCAACGATATCCAAAGTATAAGACGAACACGGATGGATGAATTCAAGAATCTGGAACGTGAAGATGTGGAATTTGTTATGGTAGGTATTGCAGTCTTGTCGTGCTGTTGTAAACCGCAAATTCCTGATTGTCTTTTTGTTGGTTGCACTACTGATTTCTATCCTGACGGATACTGCTGCTGTGGAGCTGGTTCTGCTAATGCTACTGATACTTTTACCGCTGCTGCAGTATAAATATTTGAAATCTGGAATAGTTATTTTTGGAAAAAAATTTGCAATTTTTAGTTATTTTCTAATGTTTTTCCTTTCTTTAAAATTCTGTTTATTTTTTTTTTTTTACTAATAAATTTTTTCAGTTTTTTTTGTAAAATTTATTTATGGTGTTTGATTAAATTAAAACTTTTTGTGTCGCTTTTTTTTTCTTCGTTCTATTGACTTATCCAAAAAAAAAAAATAAAAAAAATCATGTACTTAGGAGCTTCTTTTTTGGCGGTACGTCGAACTTTCGACACATTAAAGGTTCCTGTCACTGAAGAAGAAAGAATTATTTTTTTCGATATTAAATTTAAAAACCTAATAAATTTACGGTAGTTCTACAAATGTTTAATTGTTTCTGTGCGGTTACCATAGGAGAGTTGCGTTTGCAATTAGTGTTTTAACACATTCTCCTTCGTTTTCTTTTTTCATCATTATTTGCATTTGATGAGATGTTTTTTTACCGTACTGTTAAATTTATAAACGCGACGATTGTTCTTTTCTATTGCTGTTGTAGGCAGTTTTAGTTGGGTAGAAAGGATTGAAAAAATTGGATGTGAAGTAGAAAGGTGTAAAAACGGCAGCAACGACAACAAAATTTATTTTAGTTTAATTTTTTCGAATCAGATACGTAGTTATTATTGGTAAAGGTAGCAAATAATATATGGATGGAAGGCAGTTGAAATTGGCAGCATAAGCGCTTAAATAAATTAAGAAGCTCTATAATTTTGTGGAATTAAATTAACCAATTCTATGCATAACAAAATATGTCAGGTTGAAATGACTGAAAACCTTCGTTATCCGTCATGAATACAGCATAAATTTATCGATAAGGTTGTCAAGATATGTTTAAACGTTTGCTGCGGAAATGTCATAATTTACCTTAGACTAATAACTCATTTGACATCATTTTTTTTTTCTGCTTTAAAAATAAGCTTAAATGGAGGGATTCAGAAAAAAAAAAA